CATCGACAGATAGTAATTCCTTTAATGCGGCCTTTAAATAGTGATGCCTATGACTGTCGATATTTTTAGTCTAACATTAGCGATATTCGAAACTTAAAGAAAATCGTGTTCACAGCTAATCCACTTCCAAGTAACTCAAATGTATTTTTTTCTGGTGGATACTTTAAAGACATATTTCTTATTATGATATTTTTAAACAGAAATAAAACTTTTATTATATTAGCTTTTTTTTCATTCTCTAATGTCAATCTTAAGTTTAATAAAAAAATGTTACATGAAACATAAATACTTATTATATTATCCATGAAATTGATATTATAATATTTGATTACATTAAAAAATGAGAAAGCAGATTTTAAAATATCATTCAGTGTAAATATTTTACATTGGCACATAATATTTAATTTTAAGGTAAAACGCACACGTCCCTACACTAAATAAGAAACCCCCAATGTAGAAGGTATTGATCTAATAAAACCACAGCACACTCCAATAACAAGCCAAAGCTAATATAGATTGAAATTCAATCAACTATCTTTATGGTAACCGTGTTTGTCCTGTGGCGTTATGTAAACATTGGTGGTCTGTTTACATTGTCATCCGACACACGACAAATTAAGCTTAGGGCATATGTATACTATGCAGCGTTATTTTACACGTGGATGTTCGTGTGGCATTCTTGTAACTTAATCGAATGCTGTTTATTTAATGTTACAGAATAAAATCATACAGATGCATTGTTTTGTTGCAACACTCGAAGTTTTATTACCTACTTCCAATGTTTTAGAATAGGGAGTTTTCACTTCTCAATTTTTTTGAATGATTACAAGAACAAAATTATTCCTAAGTCAGTTGCTATATATTATTTTTCTATATTATGTAACACTAAAAATATTAAATATCTATATAAATAAAAATATTTAACATAGTGAAAATCTTAGAATAGGAGATTTTGTTTATTTGTTTGACATAATTTTTTCCAATAATCTATATTCATATTTTAAAGAGATGTCCTCCTTTTCGGCTTTGAAGTCGGTTCAAAGTGCATATATAAAGTTTTTGACTCCATAACAAGTATCAATATGGTAATTTTTTTTTTTTTTAATTTTAGTTGCCTTCAAAATAAACAACGTCTACCGCGAACATAATAGCAGTATTGGCATGTCAACGAATGAATGAATGAATGTCATTTAACAGTTTACACGGTGTTGACGTGTAAGAGAAATGTTTAGTGGTCGTCTATCGCGAATCAGTCATCATGTCATCACTCAGCTCCGCCAATTATCCCAATATGTTATTTAAATATATTCGACACACGAATATTTAGTCTATGAATTTCGGACGTCACGTAACGTCTAAAGTAGGAAAGAGACACGGAATATCTAATAACGCACAGAAAGGGAAGAAAGACTGACATGTAAGTTGGTTCAAAAGATTCATCAGTTTTGATTTTGCTGAAAGTGGTTTTTCCAAACGCTAGTTTATGCCAGATATTTTGAGAATTCTTTTTTTTTTATAAACAGAAACGCATTTTAATAATGATTAGTTATTTATTTGTGTTGTTACATAATTTTGTTAGTTTTTCTCCGAGGTCACGGGCTCGATTCTTGGTCAGGTGAACGTAGATAATGCATGTTTCTGTATTATCCTGGGTGTAGGTGATGCGGCACCTTCATTGTCTCAGATACATATATGGGAGCTTTAGCAATAGCATTCCAAGATGATTACATCTTGGAATCTAAGCGACGTATGTGATATTATTTATTTATGATAGTAAAGATCTTATGCGCGTTTCAAAAATTATCTTCCTATCAATAAGGAATCCTGCAAAAGATTAGAGTGTAACGGTGTGTTGTATCACACCGTTTATTTTGTCCTAGGTTCTGCATCCAAACTTTGATCTTTAACAAGCTTTAACATCATTTCTTTTTTATTATTCATTTTTCTAATCTGAAATTTTGTGCAACACGATATGTTTGTGTAAATTCTTCTACCAGTGCATATATACCACTATATTCTAATGAAAAAAAAAATAAAGTAATCTGTTTAAAATTATATTTACACCACTAATATACCTACAAGCCTAGTCAGCTGTTTCAATTTCTACCAACACCTAAGTCGGACCCGTCACAAGACTATCGAGTTTCATTATACTTTTGATATAAGAAGATTGGTCAATACAAAAAAATATATATCGTAAGCTAACAGTATAAAAATATATGTCGTAAGATAACAACAATTTCTACCGACCAATATATTATTTAGGAAGCAATTTCAATAACACGACCGTGACACCAAGACGAAATGATTAATCAGCGTTCAAACGGAAATAAATCAGCTCTTATTGAATTATCCATACCATACCAGTTCACTTATCTAAAGCATGCCTCGACACTTTAACGACATTTACATACAATAACGCCCATTAGCAGAGTTTTTACATTACAATCGAGAAGCTTAAAATAATAGGCATACACCGATATAGTATACTGACAGATAAATTAATGCAATAATTTTTTTTTTTTTTGTTATTTAAAACGATATTTCACTTTATCAACACATTAGCTGTTTCCGCGGATTCACCGCGTATATTATATATTATGTCATACGCGTATGATGTAGTTTCCTGTAGGTTTTTTTTTTATTTATAAAACCTTTACACGACTGCTAAAAAAAAGAGTGTATTGTGTTTAGGGTTAATATAGGTATGTATGTGAATTTTATATTCCAGAATAAATTTTGAAAGACTTAATGGATATGAATGGAAAGTGAAACAGATTGAAATTGTTGCCATATTACAACTTTCTCATGTATTGAATTTTAATTTGTGTTGAGTGAAAATCGATCTTAAACCACAAACAATGAACTGTCCAAAAACGTATTTCATTGAATATGAATAATAAAACAAGTTTCTTCTACCGTGCAACATTTTTATCTGCCTTATGGTTGACAAGACAAAAATAAACTGTTAATTAAAAAAAGTCGCTTTCCGTTATCTGTACGCTGAGATAGTTTGTTTGAAACTATTTACTTACTAACTTTTGCGATGTGAACGCCAATTATATTTTAAATTTCAACAGTGGTAGGTATTCAGTTAAATCAAATAATGAATGAATGTATTATAATTTAGTGATATAAATAAGAGACATAAACTTTAATACTTTCACCAATTTAAATAGGTTATAAATGTTAGGTATACATAGTAATTAATTCGGTTTATGTTTTTAAGGTTTGTAACATAAATTGTTGTACAGTATAATTTGATACGTTGTTGTAAATAGGATCTAATTAAATTAAGGAATGATCAAGAACGATCCCGGGGCACGGCGCGCGTGAACTGCATTCAGTTTTCAGACGTCATTATGTCTGACTGATTTTTATGGTCATGTCAAAATATAAGTTCAGACTAATTATAATTACTTTCATATACTTAAGGGATAGTTGTCAAATATGTTCTAAAGCGAATTAAATTATTTTTATAACTTTATTTACATAATGTATAGTAGTATGAATTTATTGAATTAACATCGAACATTTGTATTTTTATTTATGAAGTGATGATATTTAATTTAAATGAATTGTACTTATAAATTAAAGCGTTCTTTTTATCAAATTAATATTAATTTGGAGCTCGGGAAACTGACAAGAGCGAGTGTACACTCAATAATTGCAATTATTTTTGAGTTATCAATTTTAACCGCTTCATTTTGCCATCGTGTGTCTTTATCTATCTATCTCTTTGCATGTTTCGGCATTTTCTATAGTTTTATATTCATACACATTGTAAAAGTGTAGAAATAAAACATAATAGTCATCTTATTTAGATTTAATATAAGGTTCCATTACTTTAATTACAATGCCACATAGAGCCTCAATTATTTTACGGAATAATCGCAGCTCAATAGAATCATAAGTACTTGTATTTTGCCATCGTAGTATATACCTGTCCAATATTATTAGTGCAATGTATTCCTCAGAAATCAACGGTGACAGCTACTTTATATTGTGATATAACAAGAACTGTTCATAAAGGGGTGCAGTTGAAGTGCTATTGATTTTTATTGCAGTTGAAGTGCTATTGATTTTAATTACGTTAAAATTTGCAGAATTGCCCTACAAATTATTTGCACGCCTGCGCGGATAAGTATGGTGCAACATCCGGTGTGCAAATATGTTACCGGGTCAACTCGAATTTCGCATAGCCTACTTAAAATTTTCATTGTTTTTAGGTGTATATTGTTGCAATATTATTTTAAAATATAATGGTTTATAAATTTGATACCCAAAGTACGAAATGTCTAAGCAGCATTTTGTGTGATGTGGAATCAGCAATAATCTTTTTGATTGTCATATTTTTAAGAGGTAAAAGCGATCGACATATGCTGCGTGAGCTAGACACGTTTTTGGTGCAATTGTGGGACGCGCGCTTTAATACCTACTCAAATGTTATTATTTTCTATCTTTTATGTTTATTGTTAATTTTAATTCTTTATTAATTGTCTGTAAGTGTCCTATGTATGTGTGCCAAATAAAGAATTTGATTTGATTTAACATTTCGAAAGAATAGGATCGTATTTTATACGTTGCTATTTAAATTAGGCTATAAACATTGTTATATACATATATTTTTTTGTTGACTTTTATTTTTATTTTACAGGTTACAGAAGAAGACGAAGAAGTTACAACAAGCTATTTTAAGCTTTTTAATAACGACAAAGATAGAATTAGGTTTAATGTGACTACCTATAGGTTTTTAGAGTTTTGTAGGGGAATCCCGACAACATGATCAGGTAAGAGACGTACCCCATAATACATAATCTGTTTAAAATTCCCGTTATCGGGTTTGCTGTCAGGTGATTAGATGTTTTCTTCTTTTCAGACATTAATGGAGAAAACAAAACAGAACACATTTCTGACAGCATTTTAAACCGATTTATGTATTAGAACTTTTTTCTACTGATCAAGTGTTCGGTTTCCCCTATATATTAAGGCGGACTTACCAAGCAGCAGTATAGGCAAGTCTACCAGCAGATGCCACCAGAAGCTGTGTCGTGCCTGCATCTTAGTGGGTACAGGGGCGGGGACCGCTTCTGGTACTGCCTGTGAAATAACAGAAAAATAAGTTTAATGATTCATCTTAAATAGATTTTCTTAAGACGATGATTTTAAAGTCTTTAAAAAATGGAGGAGGTTCTATGTCTCTGAATGTTTTTGTTTGTAGGTTATTTCGTGATATCTTTGTAAATAGGTATATCTTTGCGACTTTTTACAAAAAAAAAAAAGAATATCGGTACCCGCGAGCAACAGCTAGTTAAGATACTCAACCTACGTTGCTTCCTAGTATGCGCGCCTTCAGGAATGCGGCCAAGATTATCGCTGCCAAACAGATTGCAGTTGCGAATAATAATACGAATAGAAGTCAGTCGATAAATATCGAATCGATGTTTACCTACATTAGAATATTGCACAATGTCATTTTGGCAAACATTCAAGCTTCTGTGCAGATATCAAAGGTGAATTGCCATAATTTATAATCGAGCTTCACCTAACCTATGGGCTGATTGTTTAATTGCGTAACCTATCGCGATCCCTTACAAAGGTATAGCAAATGTGATAGGTATTTATAAGTCAGTAATATTAAACATACCACGAATAACGCAGGTGTTAGTTTGTATGCCGCATGCCTATGTTAATTCCTAGGCCGAACTAACTGTCGCCAACCTGGATGCCTCTCTGGTATGATAATTCAATTTTACAAAGTAACTATAAGCTATATTTTAGGAGCCGCCTGTGTAATTCTATCACATTAATGATTTATAAGATATTTGTGATTTAATAATTTGATAATATTAATGGATGATGACAGTAAATATAATACTTGGATTTCTAATAATTTGTGGTGTATTGAGTAGTCAATAAACGTCACTTGTATCGAACGGACGTATTTTATTTATTTCTCCCCTCTACGAACATCAGATGGCGTTCCTGCTCCTGACCCTGATAGAAAGTAAAGAAAAACTATTTTCTCTTATTAAATAACTGGCATATTCATTAGGTTGCGTATGCAAAACATATAAACTTACGAACCAAGTCATGCGCTAGCGCATGATTGTCTTGCGTTCAATCCTTTATTTTTTCATCAGTAAAACTATGAAGTATACTAATGGTGCAGTAAGCCCATACATTTATTTACCTATACTTAAAAAATTAAGCAGATCTAACTATTTTAACCCTGTTGTTTTATACACCACCCGATCTAGATTAATACAATGGGCAAAAATATCTGCTATGGTTTCTCCAAGATTAATCACATTAATACTTACTTCGTTTATTTTAAGTTTGTTTCACTATTTTCTTTACGTAACTCATAGTCTGTGTCACCCGAATCAAGTATTTTTAAAATCGGTCCAGTACGAGAAGTTTCGTAGCCTATTCAATCCAAAAAAGATGATCTTCTGAAATCTTTATTAATGTTTAGAATTATACTTGGTAAGTCATCAAGTTTTATTCCTTACATCTTATGGAATCATCGTCGGTTATAGACATTCCCACAGAATCAATAAGTCAGTTCCACAAGAAGGTATTACATGGACTTTCTCACATTAACCCGCGAAATATCGTACATAAGATGGACCTCAAATAAATTATTAACGTGTTACAATAACCGTTGGAACTAACCGTTATTTAACGGAAAACTGCTTATGGCTATTATACTCGTAAAATGCTTTTCGCAATAGCGGTGTGAACTGCCAGGTTTGCCCTTTCCTCTCACGTAGCAAAGGAATTCATACCTCTACTTAAAAATATAAGTTCTATTGGTACCATGGCATAGTTAAAATAAAAAATTTCAATTGCGTTTATTTATATCAGTTAATTATAGAAATATTTTACATTTGTTTTTGCATTTTTACACTTTTTCGACGAACTCATTAGCGTATATCGGGACTCTGTTGGTGGAACTGCAGTAGCTCAGGGGTGAAGAATAAAATCCTTGGTGAATTTCTTCCAACATTCGAGTTTATTACCAAATAATATAAGTACATCAAATAATTTAAAAGAAATGTTTCTAAGACTCTGTCTCGGAGCCGGTTGCCATCAGAAAGAAAGACTATCAACCAACAAAGCAAGACCACGCGAATTCATTGACTATAAATTATCCGGAGGGTAAACCTACTTACAGAATGTGCACATATGTTACAGTACCATAAGAGAGATATATAATCGTCCAGGTGCGAGCACCTGGCCGATTATATATCTCTTATGGTACTGTCGGACTCATCCGACTCGTGTACGAAGGGTGTCATGTCATTAACTATAAAACACGCAAAAAATACGTTTGTTGTATGGGTGAACTCCATTAATACTTGTAAGAAAAATAATAATTTATTTCATAATAAATCTTAAGTTACACCTATACAAATACAATCACATTAATAAGCTCTAATTGAAATTTATTTACAAGAATTAAATTTAACAACTAAAATTTCACAATAAAATATGTTGATAGTATTTTTTGTTATTGTTTTTAGTATTTGTTATTATAGAGACAATGTTTTGCCATGGGCTATGCAAGATTATGACGATTCATGAGATAGAGCCTGTTAGATGTATGATGATGATGTTAGGTGATAGATGTATGGTGCCCTTTAAGAACGGAGCCCTAAAATCTAAGCCAAACATTTTGATACCTACGAATTCTAATCATTATTACAATTGAGTAGGTACATTTCAGTGAATTTTAATCATATAAAGAATAGTAAAAGTTGATGACCTCAATTAAACAATGAGGAATGACGGTATCCATTTCTTGACAACCAAAGAAAACACTTAGTAATTGATGTATCATTTGGGTATTTCGTAAAAAATATAATTGCAGTTTAATGCCTATTTTCCTTCATTTTATTTGTTAGAAAATTAAAGCGCAGTTAATGAGAATAAAACTGCAAATATACCATGAACTGTATTTTTATTTTTATTTTTCCATATATCTAGAATAGCTGTCATCACAGCATTCAAATTTCACACAGTCTATCCATATTTTTTCAGTCCTCTTATTACATCTCCATTTATGATAATTTTGTTACATGAAAATTTAACAGAATGACCTCAAATCTCCTCTCATTATATTACATAAGTATTTTGGTTTTCGTTTTGTCTATAAATCATGCTTCTTTACTAATATGATAAAGAGAAAAGCTTCGATTATTTGCATTGAATAGGCTTCGAAACTTCTATATTGAATTGATTTTTTTTTCATCTGTGGGAAGCTCTCATCTTACGCGGATGACATACCTCAGTAGGTTATATTTTACATGGGCTTAGTCGCGGGAAAATAGGTAATAGGGATGATGACTGGGTAAAAAAAATGCAATTCTATTTAGTCCGTCAGTCAGATAATAGAAAAATATTAGTTTTGTATTTTTTTTTTTACTTCAAATTAGCAAGAAATAGCTTAGATAACAGGCATTAAAGTTGAGGAGTGGGGGCTCGCTACGTCACAGTTGAGTAGAAAACGTACTCTAACGTGACGTCATGCGAAATTTCAACTCAATGTAACGACGTAATTTTATGATTACGCAAAAAATAAAAAAAATATCTGTTTAATATTTTTTAACACTCTACCTGACGGACAAACAAACAAAAATTAGTCATCATGCCTATTATTCACAAAATCACATTTAATAAATAGTACTTTATGAAAGTATACATTGCGTAATTCTATTATCTATCTATTGATCAGAGAATCTGCAACGCATTAGTTAAGACTATTGTTTAATAAGTCTATTAGAAAAATATTTATTCTAGAGCATGCACAGTGAGGTCACCGTAGAATACATAATAGACAGGTGGCAGCAACGACTTACTGTTTATGGGATTGGTGACAGCTGTCAAACCCTAAAGGGAGTTGTCAAACTGTCATTGACCGGTTTGCGAATAAGTTGAATGAGATTTGGCGCGTTGTGATACGATGCAAGTCTTTATAAGTAATTAAGATGCTCAGAACAATAGAATCAAATGATATAGAGTTAGTTCATACATTTTATAATCCACGCGCATGTTGCTTTTGTACTACGCTAATATAGTTTTAAATGCAGGTTTCAAATGAGAATGTTTATGTCTTACTGATGGCACAACTATAATTATTGCCGTAACATAGATGAAAGTTTTCCTTTAATATATCTTTCATTTAAAAATCAACCTTCCACCTCATCATTCCTAGGTAGATTTTGCGTTATAGTAGAGATAATATTATATTACAGAATTATTAAGTATCATAAAAAATTTATTCGTATAGTCACTATTAAACGGTATTTAATATAATGTAAATGAAACCGTCATGTTCCTAAGAATAATAACATGAACCGGATGTAATCTCTAAGGGAACTATAAAATTGACTTTCCCCACAAACAACAGAGGTAAAATTGATTATCTATACTTATTTTTGTTCACATAATATTTTTTTAAGCTTCAAATTTATATTTTTGCCAAATTATAGTAAATTGCGCTCTTGATTTACTTATCTCATCTCACTCTATAATACGGAGCTTTAGCTTACTCATCTTGGAATCTGAGCAATGTAAAACATATACACTTTATTCAGTTTAGTTATTATTATTTCAGTACATACATTTTTAATATTTCGTTATAAAACGTGTGCATTAATATAATGATATTTTCATGTGTAAAAACACAACACACAAATCGTTGATTTTAAATTGGTGTCGCTTTGTGCGTCAAATTTGAGCTAAAACGTTCTGGAACTTGGGCGTTCGCATAATCGAGGTTCTATTTTCTGTAAATCAATGATAATGATGATGCTTCTAGTTCATTTTCAACATGGCTACTGGTTCGACTCCTAGTCTGGTTGGCGCTGATGCGCTTGAAGATAGCTAATAAATCCGATCTTAATTAACGACGCCCACGAAGCTGGCTGGGCTTGCAGCTCGTCACGTTCGTTCAGAGTCAAGATATGCTTCATAATTATACTAAAAATCGCTTATATGCCAATATACAGTCCTGCACTATTCCAGAAGTTGCGCTGGCAAAATCTGCTATTTAAAAAAGGTT